ACATCGCCAAAGAAACAGGTATCTAATTATATATTTAATTTTTAAAAACAATAAAATAAAATGATCATATGCTAAACAAACACACTTTCTTTTTCATTTGCGCTTAATAAGGTTATTTATTGTGTAGGTTTAGATTCAATTATAATAAATAAGAATTTGTCATATAGGATTATTTACATATAGCAATATATAAATATATACATATATATATATATATACATATATACATATATGTATATGTATGTATGTATAATATATAATATATATATATATATATATATATACTTCTAGTCTGTTTTACCGGTAGATTGGTTCCAGAAGAAGCGTGTAAAAAAAAACGTGTAAAAAAAAGACATTGATCTTATACAAAAATGGGTGATTTGTTCCTAATCTCTAAAACCTATTAAAATTAGTGAAAAACAAGAATTTTTAAGAACAAGAATTCAGTTTATTTATTAAATCAATATATAATGCTTATTTTCACAAGCATAGTAATTAATGATAAAAAGATATGCACATAAGTATTTTATTGTATGCACATAAAAGGATTCCCTAAATTATTGCTATTCACATTTTCTTTGACCAGTAAAAATTGTTTGTACGCGCTAAAGGGGAATTCACTTAAATCTTTAAGCTAGTGTTTCGCAAACTATTGATACTATAGATGGTTTCAGACTTTTTTCTTTCATAAATACTTTTTTGTGATATGAACATACTTCGCAAAAATTAAATTTGACAAAAAAAATTTTAAGTACATAAATTTCAAGTCATGCTAAATGGAATAAAATCGTGTAAAAAAATTAAAAATATTCATTTTCCAAACCGTGTTATATCAAACCGTGTACAAAAAGACCGTGTAAAACAGACTTAGGTGTATTCAATTTCAACCGTGTTTATAATCAAAACCGTGTACAAAAAGACCGTGTAAAACAGACTTAGGTGTATATGTATATATATAAAAGTATACACAAGCAGACATTTTATATATTTCTAAGTAAATGCAGATATTATGAGGTATATTAACTGAGGTTAAAATATTTAAAGTTATCATTCCAAATACATATAATTTAATAAACATACATATATATGACGTATGTATGATAGTGTTTAATCATTAAAAAAATTAAATTTGCTTTATAATAGATTCAGAAGAAGTTACATATGCAGCAATGTGATATCTGTGATAAAACTTTTAAGAAGCCTTCACAATTAATGAGGCATAAGTTGATTCATACTGGGGAACGGCCTTTCCAGTGCAACGTGTGCTCTAAAACATTTCAATCAAAAAAATGGATTGGATACTCACATGAGGTAATCAGCACATACCATAATATTAGTGAGCTATAAAAATTATATAATTATTATAACAATAATAAGGCCATCAATGCATTCAAATTATAATTTTTTAACCAACTAAATAATATCAAAGTGTATATGTCTTAGTAAGGAATACTAATATCCCTCTAATTCAGGTTTATATCTAATCAATTATCTACATGTAGATAGATAGATAAAAATTGATAAATGAAAAATTCTAATGTGAACAAGTGCCGACCATATAAAGATTGAAAAAAAATTGCTGGGTAGAACATGTTATAAAGATAAACATTTTTTGGCTTTGGCTAATGGCGCTTTTATGGTTGTTCAATTTCAGTCGATTCGGAAATCTTATAGTTGTATGCACTTAAATAATATTATACATACAATATAAATTATACAATGTACAATTTTGATTATTTTCAGACATCATACTGGTCTTCGTCCTCATGATTGTCCTTACTGTTCCAAAAGCTTCTCTCAGAAGGGTAATTTAAAAACTCACATTATCAGGTAAATTTGTGTTCAAATTTACACTTTATGAAGTTAGAAAATTGCCTTTGACTTTCTAAATTTTTGATTACTGTTACAGCGCACATTTAGTAATCCTTTGAAAAATTATTACATTAACAGTTTTGATTGCTCAGATTGCTATTATAGCTCTCAGAACACTCAGTTTATTTTATATTGATTTTTATTCACCAGATTCAGAATTATATAAAATAATTAGAGAATAAAAAAGTGTAAATGACATTTTATTTCAGACACACACGGAATTGTTTGACTTGATCAACCTAGCTCCTTCAATGAACATCAATAGGAGAAAATAATCAATAAGAGTAAAAAAACTATTTTTTCTATTAAAATTCATCGATAAATTGTTTATATAATTAAATTGTTCCATGTTATATATGACAATATGTAACATCGTTTGTTGAAATTTTTAAAATGATCTATCAAGAAAATTGATGTGCAAAAATATTACAATTCTTTTGTATATAAATCAATTTTTATATATTTATACTTATGTCTTTAATTTTTACTTTTACATTTCTATTTAAATAGTAGTGCTGACACAGATACAATCTCTTCGATTAATTATTATGAATAGTAAAACAGTAAAGTTTCATGTATTTTTTTTTTTATTAAATTTAGGCATTGGAATTGTTTTTACAAACAAATTAACTTTTCATAAATTATTCGATAACTTACATCTTTTCGTTTTTTTTCATATTGCTTTGTTTTTTTCAATTATTTCATTAAAGTAATCTAATTTCAAATGAGTATTTAACATATGGAGGAATATATTTTTCAGTATGACTTATTAAAATACTCTAATATTTTAATCAACATTATTCAATTTTTTTCAGATTCCATTCCATTTACTGCTTAAAAGAATTAATGAGATTTTTTAATTTTTTATATTAATACTTATTATAATTATTACAATTATCTTTTAAAAAACTTCTTGAAAAATGAGGAACAATTTCCCTTTTTTGTCGACGGTTTGTCAAAAACGGCCGAATTAATTTTTAAACTTAAAAAAGAAAAGCCATTCGATGTAACCAGTTAAGGATTATAGTTTTGTGCGGCGATCGGCTAAGCTGTTTTTTTTTTATTTAGTAGAGAAGTCTAAAATTTTTCGTTCAACTTTTTAACAAATCCTGAACCGATTTAAAAATTAAAAACTGTTCTTGGTTTGGTATCGTAATGATTAGTTTTTGGTATAAATCTACTGGGCCGTTTCTTAAATAATTATTAACCCTTTGGACTCCGAAAGGGTTAAAAATGTTTTAAGTGCTTTCACATACACTAAAATCTCGAGAACGATATATAATGGCTAAGAGAGAAAGTATAATTGTATCTGTTTGTATATCTCTGTGTGATAATTCTGCATAAATATTTTAATAATTTAAGGATAAACATAGAAAATGAAAATTAAATTTGATTAAAACGAATACATCAAAGTTTTTTTTATATTAAATTGCTGTAGATGTTAATATATTAATATGAACATGATTTTATTTACATTCGTGCACATGTATTTTTACTATTTATATTATATATTCGAATACTAGTATAACCTAAAAAAAATAATAAAAATATGAATAACTTTTAAATAAACATTAATCGTCATCTAAGCAGCAGACGCATATTCAATGATTTATTCTGTTTAGACAATTTGTTGTTTGCAATTATGCGAGACCTTGAAGAACACGTTTGACAGTTATGAGTTCAAGGTTTTATTTATTCGAATTTGTCGTTTTTTCTGGGTATATCGTTTACAGTTACATTTTTCTTTAGTGCCCAATAATGGAACATATTCCTTCTGTAAGTATTTATGCTATACTACGCTTTATAATCACCTAATTTTTATTAATCAATTTATTTTGTCATAATTGAACGTAGATAAATGATTCAACAATGTTAGTAAAGCTTCAAGATCGAATTGGGAAACTATTATTATCAAGACAATGGAGTGATTGTGTTTTCAAAATAAATTCTACTTACATCTATGCTCATCGAGTAATCCTTGCTTCTGCAAGTCCTGTTTTTGATGCAATGCTGTATGGATCCCTAGCTGAAGTTGATGTTATTAATATATATGATATTGATTTAGAAGCATTTAAGTGTATGTTGAGCTACATTTATACTGATAAAAGTTCTATACCTTCTATAGAAAATGCTTGTAAATTACTCTATGCTTCGATAAAGTATATGTTACATCATTTACAAGGTATTTGTAAAATCTATATAATGAAAAATCTATCAATTAGTAATGCATTGGAAATATTAGACTTTGCTATAGTCATACATGATGATTTTTTGATAAAAGCTGCAATGCAAGTAATCTGCACACATCCTAAATATGTATTTTTGGAAACAGACTATCATCCGCATCCCTTGACAATGCTTGAAATAGCAAAGCAAGAAACAATAAATATTTCGGAAATTGATTTACTTGATATAATAAACAAATGGTATTTAAACGAATGTGATATTCAAGGAATCAACATATCTATGGATAGTGTTCAAAAAATACTAATTGATAGTGAAATTCTTCATAAAATCAGATTTTCATCTATGAGTATGAGTGATTACTCTAAAATACATTCTATAATTAATCATTTGCCTCATGAGACTTTGCATAAAATGACGAATAATGCTCAGTTAAGTAAAATAACATTATCACCTAGGAAGAAAGTTAACATAGTATGGCATTATTGCATTTGCCGATATTTCAAGTCATCATATCCCCTGTGGGTTGATTCTAGTACCCCTTCTCTTCAAGTTATTATAATTGCAAACAAAACTGTTCTTGTTAATAGTTTTAAAATTACATCTCGATTAAGTCCTCCAAATCTTCAGTGGCCATTTAGTAATTTGGGTAATGACTATAATGAAAATATCAAAGTTGAAGTGGTAGATAATTATCAAAATATTATGGCTGAAACTAATATCTGTTCTAAAGCAAATTTTAATGATTATTTAAACATTAATTTAAATGAGCCTATTGTTTTTCGGAACAAAGAACCATATACAGTGAAATTTAAATGGAATATGGATGAATTATCAACAATGGTTGCACAATACCCGCAACAGTTTGTATCAGATATAGGGAGCAAAAATGGAATTACATTTTCTATAAAGAATCAAGAAGCAACATTTATCTGTGGAATAACATACTCATTGTGATTTAATTAATTTAATTTAATTTTACTTATATGTATACTATTGTATTTATTTGCAGTATTTAAGTTTAATTGTTGAACAAATCAATAAATTGAAAGTAAATAAATTATATCTCGTTTGATCTAATAATTTATATTTGTTTGGCTTTTGAATATTTTTACCTATTACATATATTATTTTCCTAATATATTCATTAGATTATTGTTTCAAGTTTATTTTATTATTGTCTAGGTTTTTACCTTAGACAATATAATAATAATGGTTTTTACCTTCTCTTCTGATACAATTGAGTCTAGATTATTTAGCATTAATATATCATTATTTTAGTCAGGATTATTTAGAATTTAGCGCCTTTACATAAATTTACGCATTGCTGCCAACTATGTTTGTAGAAATCAATATTTAAAAGATTTTGACAATCTTGACAGTTTATCGAGATTACATTAATCAAAAATTTAATCATGATGGATTTTAATGTAAAAAAAATTGTTCGCGATGCTGGCAGTGCAATCAGTAGAGTCGTACAGGTTATAATAATTAAATAATTGAATATTTTGCGATGCATAACTTTCTTTGTCATTTGGTTTCCAAGTTTAACATTTCAATCTAAACTGTTTCCTCACAGTTAACAGAAGAGAAACTAGGAACTTCTGAAAAAACAGAACTTGATTCTCATTTTGAAACGTTATGTGAAAGATGTGATCAAGTTAAACAATGGACAGAAAAGCTTATAAAAGATACAGAAGCAGTTCTCATACCCAATCCAAGTCAGCGAGTTGAAGACATAATATTTGATAAAATTGAAAAGAAAAGGCCACAGAGATTGAGTAATCTAGAATATTTGGGCTCAGATATGATTGAGGTTTCGTTATTTTATTCAATTACCATAGTCTAATAATAATTATTATTTACCATAATCACTCTTTCATGGTTCCTTATCTTTATCTAGTTATAGTTGCATAGCTATTTAATATTAAATATAATTAGCTTTTTTCTGAGAAAGAAGATTTGGTGTTTTTATTGTATGTAATATATATGATTGATGTTAGGCTGGAAATACTTTTGGTCAGTACACAGATTATGGAAAAGCACTCATTAAAATTGGTCAAAACTGAACAAAAACTAGGAAAATGTGAAAGAGATTTTATCAATTCAGCTGAAGTGTGTTACACGCAACCATTGAGAAAGTTTATTGATGGGGATTTAAAAGCTGTAGCAAAGGAAAGAAATTTATTAGTGACTAAAAGGTATATTGATATCAAAATATTTTCTTCATATAACAATTCAACTGCAGCCTAACAATTTTTTTGTATTAGGTTAGATTTAGATGCTTGCAAGAACAGAGTTAGGAAAGCAAGGACTATGTTGGGACAGCAAACGGTAAATATACATTTAACTTTTGCAAAATTTACCTGTTAATAATTAAATTGCTTGCTTAATGCTGCAATAAAAGAAGGATGGTATACCTCCAGAAGTTATGGTCGAAGAGGTAATGTCTTACTATGAAACTAATCAAAGATATTATTTGATACTCATATCAATTAGCATTACATACTATTTCAATAATGATTAAATGTGTATGTGTTAGACAATAGTGAACAATAATGCATTTTTCAGTGTTAAAAATATTCCTATAGAAAAATAACTTTATCAAATTTCATATATATATATATATATATATATATATATATATATATATATATATTATCAATGTAAACTTATACAGTAAATTGTTTTTTGTGATCCAATAAATTATAATTGATAGGCGGAACGTGATCTCAGAATTGCCCAGTCAGAATTTGATAGGCAAGCCGAAATTACAAAGTTGCTTCTTGAAGGTATAGGAAGTTCTCAGAAGAGTCATCTCCACTACTTGCGAGATTTCATTAAAGCTCAAGTTCGACATTATGAGCAAAGTTATCAAATAATGAAAAACCTTCAATCTGAAATGGATTTGTTAGTATACTATAATATAATAATAAATTTTGTACATTGAAATAGAAAATATTTACAAATAAGATTGTTTATTTTGATATACTTTCAAAATCTGATTTAATCTTTTGTCCACACAACCACAAACTAATTATTTATGGTCTTAATTAATTTTGTCTTCTATTATTGATAAAATCTTTTATTAACTATTGTCTCGTTACTTCACACATGCAGAACACTGATTTTTTTTTTTGCTTCTCTTTCTAGAGATACTGCAAATACGTCATGTGATAAAGGCAATCTCATTCCATGTGAACTTGAGGGACATAAAAAAGCTCGTGTGCTGTGTGATTATGATGCAGTTGATAATACGGAACTCAGTCTTATTGCTGGAGAGGTATGAAATATTATAACTATCAAAGACACTGTCCATTAACTATATATATATATATATATATATATATATATATATATATATATATATATATATATATATATAATTTATTTCATAAATTTCTAGTGATTGATTGGTTTGTTCAATTTTTATTGTTTTTTCTTTAAGAGATTCTTCTAATTTACTTATCTATATTTCAGGAAATATTGGTGAGTGATTGCAATCCAGTCAGTAGTGACTTTTTAATGGGGCATAGAAATTCTCGCTCTGGTAAAGTCCCTATTGCTTTTCTTGAAATTGTTGAATGTTGAATTTACATTTTATTAGTTCAGATAGTTACTAGCTTT